AATGCGAAATACGCGTACATTTGGGTTCACTATCGGAGGGTTCGCTGCACTCAACAAATCCACACTTATTGCCGTAAATAATATTTTTATGTATAGGTAAATAAATAAATAATAATAATTATTATTTATATTTATAATTATATTTCAGATATTCACATTTATTCTCAACTACACCGTTATTTTACTGCAACCCCGATAGTTCTCATTATTGTTATTATTGTACTTGAAAATCATGAAAATACAATATCTACATGAAATAATATTATAATATTATATTAACAGATTATATTATTTAATTAATAAGCTGAATGGATCTCAAAGAATGAACAAGATATGCTTCTTAATTTTTCAAATATCTCGTCAAATAAATATTCTGGGCCATCTCAAAGATCTTATTTTACCATTGATTACTGTCATTGACAATTGCTGCAACGAATAACTTAAAGTCGGATTTCACTAAACCAACCCCGACCCCGACCCCGACACCGGTTGCGCAATAGTATTGCTGTCAGACTAAATATCCTACCTAACCTTACCCAATTTGGTTTTACTGCAATGATAGTGTTGGTTTGCTGAGGCACTTGCAATTCTATGTTGGCTTTTCAACAAGTCTATTGCGCAACTGGGGTCGGGGTCGGGGTTGGTTTAGTAATTCCTTTTACAATCTTTTTCAATTGCATTAATCAATGGTAAAATATTAAAACCCTAAGACTTGTTACAATAAAAATAACATTTCCTTTCGGTGCTGCAAGTTAGACAAAAACCTGTAATAAATTGGATCATTGGCTAGTGTCGGGTATGTTTGCCATTGCTGGGGAAACGGATGTTTGGGTTTCATGTGTTTTCTCGCCTATACTGAAGATACAGTTGTGGATAGAAGTGTCGCTTGTTTTCACACAGAGATCATGAGATATTTGGGTCGATATATAGATTAATTGCAGTAATCCTTGAATTTATTTATATTAAATATTTATTGAATTTTTATATTAATATTAAAATCGCATTAAATAAACTAGGATTTAATTATTTGTATAAATAAATCTAGTTATTTAAATAAACATAATGTAACTTACTATGTTAATTAAATTAATCAAAAGTTTAGTACTTTGCATACGTAAATTAAATTCATATTAAATAGTATATTATAATAAAATGTTGTAACACACAAACAAGTTTAATTATTTATAATAGTTATGAAAAATTCTAATGCTATAATTTTGGCCAAGATCATTTTAAATATTAACCGATTATGCGGTGGCATAACATTTGGTGGTCTTAGTATAGATGCGCATGGACATATTTATATTAGTAAGTTATGGAAATATCTGGGTTACTTGGTGATAATCATGAGCGTGCTCTATCAAATTATCGCTATCATACTATACCTACAATTTGTGAACACAAATAATGTGACAGGTCAAATACCTATAATTGATCTTATTTTGCACATTATTATGGATAGTTTACAACGTGTTAAACGCATGTATACCGTTTACTTCTTGAATGTCAATGGCTATGCTCTATTTGAAATCATCATGCACAATTTGGGACCATATTTTGCGGTGATACCTAAATTCAATTGTCGCATTATAGCCATTCTTAGCATCTGGTTTACTCATATGTTCATGGTCTTTATAATGGGCGGATATAACTTGTCATTTATTTCGGAGTGGTTATTTATTATCGCAGTAATCGAGAGTAATTTAATGTTTGTATTGGTATGGGTTATACCTGGGTACATTTGGTTGGTATGTGTATATTGTGGAAAGCTGCTTGATAATATTGGAGATGATCTCAAAACTATAAAAGGTGCATCTTAAATCAAATTTATTAAATATGTAAAAAATATATTTCATTTTAATGTAACTAGTAATAATTAATTTATAAAGCTAATTAGCTAAACATAAATATTTTATAATGTAATAATAAGATAATATCAAATACTTTTTAATAAATAGGAACTCGGTCAATTAATCAAGAAACTTGTTTATCGGATTCAAAACAATTATTTCTAAATATTGTGGAGACTATCGATACAATTGACCGTAAATTACATACCTATCACATCCTGAGCGCTATAACCACAATATTCACAGTAATGGTGGCCATAATGTCGATGTCCCGGATGGGGAAGTTAGCCATATTTATGTCTATGGCTCTAGTGATGGCATTTTCAAGCATATCCTACTCAATACAATTGATTATCTCGTGTTTAATCTGCGGCTCAATTGGCGAACGTATCGTCAGATTGAATGCAGTCTTAGATAATATCGACCAAAAGGTATTGTCGGATAAGGCATACAAGGAATGGCTTACGTTTGCGACTGTAATGCGAAATACGCGTACATTTGGGTTCACTATCGGAGGATTCGCTGCACTCAACAAATCTACACTTATTGCCGTAATTAATGTTTTTATCTAGAGTTATAACTTTTTAAAAAATAATTATTTATATTTATAATTATTTTTCAGATATTCACATTTATGCTCAACTATACCGTTATTTTACTTCAACACCAATAGTTTTGATTATTATTATTATAGTACTTGAAAATCATTCAGATACAATATCAACACGAAATAATATTTTAATATTATATTAACAGAATATATTATTTAATCAATAAGCTGAATATATCCCTAAGAATGAACAAGGTCTACCTGTTAATTTTTCAAATATCTCATCAAATAAATATTCTGGGGCATCTCAAAGAACTCATTTTACCATTGATTAATGTCATTGATAATTACTGCAACAATTAATTAAAAACTTTTTCAATTTCATTAATCAATTGTAAAATAAACTGTGATCAGTTATAAACCAACTATTTCTTTCTTTAATTAAAAATACTAAATATTAAGCAATTTTAACAAAAAGTATACCAAAATGTTCAGGGATAATGAAATTTTTATTTCTGTATTAAAGAATAGCCATAAGTTATTTACCTTGATTATAAATAGCGAGTAAACGTGCAAACACGCGTTTCGAGTGAATACCTAAAATCAATGGTCCTTAACAGTGCTTTCGAATGCAAAGCAGTGAAAGTTCGCAACAATTGAATCAATGCTTCCATTCATAGCACTGTTAGGAATCATGCATTTTATGTGTACTCGAAACGCATGTTCGCACGTTTACTCCCTATTTATAATCAAGGTAAATAACTTATGGCTATTCTTTAATAAAGAAATAAAAATTTCATTATCCCTGAACATTTTGGTATACTTTTTGTTAAAATTGCTTAATATTTAGTATTTTTAATTAAGGAAAGAAATAGTTGGTTTATAACTGATCACAGTTTATAAGAACCCTAAAACTTGTTTAAACAAAAACGACATTTCCTTTCGGTTCTGCAAGTTAGACAAAAACCTGTAATATTGTGGATCAATAGCTATTGTCAGGTATGGTAGCCATTGCTAGGGAAACGGATGTTTTGGTTTCGGGTGTTTTTTCTCGTCTATAAAGTTGTCGATCAAAGTGTCGCTTGTTTTCATAAAGAGATCATGATATTTTTGGGTCGATATATAGATTTATTGCAGTAATCCTTGAATTTAGTTATATTAATTATTTATTGAATATTTTTATTAATATTAATATCGCATAAAAATAAACTAGAATTTAATTATTTGTATAAATAAACTAGTTATTTAAATAAACATGTGACTTACTATGTTAATTAAATTAATCAATAGTTTAGTATTTTACATACAAAAATTAAATTCGTATTAAATAGTATATTAAAATAAAATGTTGTAACACACAAACAATTTGAATTATTTATGATAGTTATGAAATATTTGAATGCTATAGTTGTGGCCAAGATCATTTTAAATATTAACCGAGTATGCGGTGGCATAACATTTGGTGGTCTTAGTATAGATGCGCATGGACATATTTATGTCAGTAAGCTATGGAAATATTTGGGTTATTTGGTGATCATCATAAGCTGGCTCTATCAAATTATCTCTACCATAATATACGTCCAATTTGGCAACACAAATAATTTGACTGGTCAGATACCTATTATTGATATAATCTTGCACATTATTATGGATAGTTTACAATGCATTCTACGCATATATACCATTTACTTCTTGAATGTCAATGGCTATGCGCTATTTGAAATCATCATGCACAATTTGGGACCATATTTGGCAGCTATACCTAAATTGAATTATCGCATTATAACTATTCTTAGTATCTGGTTTACTCATATGTTCATGGTCATTATTATGGGTGGATTTAACTTATCAGTTATTTCGAAGTGGCTATTTGTTGTTGGCGTAATCGATATGAGTTTTATGTTTGTATTGGTATGGGTTATACCGGGGTACATTTGGCTGGTATGCGCATATTGCGGGAAGTTACTTGATAACATTGGTGACGATCTCAAAACTATAAAAGGTGCATTTTAAATAAACATTATCAAACATTTATCTAAAAATTTTATTATGTAATAATATTATAATATCAAATAATTTTAATAAATAGGAACTCGATCAATCAATCAAGAAACTTGTGTATCGGATTCAAAACAGTTATTTCTAAATATTGTCGGGACTATCGATACAATTGACCGTAAATTAAATACCTATCAAATCCTGAACGCCGTAACTATAATATACACAGTTATGGTGGCCATAATGTCGGTGTCCCATATGGACAGGTATCCCATGTTTATCTCTATGGCTCTTGTGATAGCATTTTCAAGCATATCCTACTCAATACAATTGATTATCTCGTGTTTCATATGCGGATCAATTGGCGAACGTATTGTTAGATTAAATGAAGTCTTAGATAATATCGACCAAAAGGTATTGTCGGATAAGGCATACAAGGAATGGCTTACGTTTGCGACTGTAATGTGAAATACGCGTACATTTGGGTTCACTATCGGAGGGTTCGCTGCACTCAACAAATCCACACTTATTGCCGTAATTATTATTTTTTATGTATTGTATAAATCACTTTGAAAAATATTAATTAACATGTTTATTTATAATCATTTTTCAGATATTCACATTTATGCTCAACTATACCGTTATTTTATTGAAAACTTGATAGCCTAGATCAGAGACCTCAAAAATATTTTTTTAATAAAAAGTTTTAGAACATATTTTATTTATTTCATACAGATTATCAGTAAATAAAGCGCTTTACAAACACAAACATCATTACTATTTTTACTTATTCACAGTCACCTGTAAATGTGTATTTTCTAGACTTTTCTATATTGATTTTGAATGGAGAATAAAAGTTTTAAAAATATTCACAAACTTAACTAATAGAAATTAATAAAATACTTTTCTATGAGTTATTTAATATTTTAGATATATAAATACTAAAATAAATGCTTTATTTAAAAATTACAGTTTATAATTTCCAGTTAATACTTTATAACTCTCACTCACACTAATGTGTACTATATTTGTTCACCAAACATTTGAAGGATATTAAAAATGTTTGAGAATTTGACGAACTTGGAGTCAATCTTTGAGGAGTCTGTAGTATATACTATATACAATCTACATATAGTATGTAACTACATTCTAAATATTAAAGCTAACTTTATACATTATAATATTTTATATATTATATTCTATTTTGTAAAATCTTATTAAATATAAAAATAATTAATTAAATGAATTAAATTAATTATTATCATTGTTTAAAAATTTATAATTATTTTTCTTTTATACTTTTTGTTAAAACGTGTTTCATAATTTTACATTGATGAATTAACTTTAGTGGTAAATATAATATCATATTGAATGGAAGTGTTAGTCTTGATAATGAGTGCCAATTGTTGCGATTCATAGATTCCTCATATGGTATGTGTCGATACCAGAGGACGAGACACATAACACTCGCAGTCCCTGTGCTATACCTATACTCAAGACTAAAGGTGCGATCGCCGTCTCATTCCGTGTGTTCGGCACGTCCTTCCTGTTCATCAACTCTCACTTCCCGGCCCACGAGACTCAGTGTCAGCGCAGACTCGATGAGTACGAGAAGATCATCACATCTATTCAGTTGCCAAAAGACACATCACTTCTGAAGACCCGTTACATAACCAGTGACCTGACCGGCCGTTTCGACTGTGTCTTCTGGTTCGGAGATCTCAACTTCAGAGTGGAGTTAACCCACGAAAATGTTTGCCAATACTTGGAGTCAATCAAATCCAATGACATGTATGAGCCTCTCCTAGAATACGATCAATTGTCCCAATCTATGGCCAAATCAGTGCTGTTCAGAGGTTTCGCAGAGGCGTCGCGAGTCATGTTTGCGCCCACCTATAAGTTTGAGCTCAATTCAGACACCTATGAGACTGTGTTAAGACGGGTGCCCTCTTTCACCGATCGCATCCTCTATAGAAGTAAACGATTGGGACATATAGTGAACTATCAGTACAACTCTGTACCCAAATTCAACACATCAGACCACAAGCCTGTCTTCGCACTCTTTGACGCTCAGATCAGACACGGCAGGGATGACATCCCTCTCAATCTCGGTCTCTTCAATAGAGAGGTATTTATTAATTACAACTAATAACACCTTTTCATTCATTTAAACCATCATTATTAAAATATATCAATATAAAGTTAATGTATTTATTATTATATAACTGTACAGTGACTTAAGCTAATATGTAAGCAAAATTCAAATGAAATACAGAGGTATTAATAATAATAATAATAATTTTATTTTCGTATAAGCAATGAGTTACATAACAAGTTATAATCATTTAAATGAAAGTACTAATATAATTGTTGTATAGAATATGCATTTGTATACATATTGTCTTATATTCAGGTATATATTGAGGGATTGAGACGACGAGCAGCAGAGGCCGGCCGTAAGATCAGTGAGAATCACGACTGTGTGGTCGCGTAATAAGGACTTCAAAGGCTCACTATTTTACTATTTTATACTTTTATGAATTCAATAAATTGACAAGTTTTACACAATATGTTACTGTATATGATATATAGAGCCCTGTTTTCCATTACAAAACTCATATCAGCAATATTAAGATTAATTTAGATTTATTCATCTGTTTTGAAATAATTTAAAATGTTAGCAAACATTATTAATGATGGATAATACACCGAATTGTTCCCAACTTTAAGTACATAATGCAATCATTTATTATGTGAATGTTACTCTTTTTGTATCCATTGTGATCATACAGTATTAGCTATTGAATTAATTTTTGTATAAATTATTTATTTGATATAACTATGCTTGATATTGTTAATTCCATGTTTTAACAGTTAACATTTAACTTATTAAAGTGTTTAATACTAAAGTTAGAAATTAATTACTATTACATAACTTATCTAAACATAATTACTTACTAATAAGAAAAATTAATTGAAAAATTTTATTCAATAAGTATTTATTCAATAATTGTAATTTTTGAAAACATTTAATAAAACAATGAGAAAATATCATTTAAATATTATTTTTACAGGCCATTAATGTTGACCTGGACACACATTACAATTATGCATTTAATTTTCAATCAAGTTTTTGTAATCAATAAATATTAGTGAGTTTAGAAATTCTTTATATGTGATAGACCAATATGAGATGTNATAATTAAAGCATCCAAATCTAGGTGGTAAAAAAGGCCTTTATAATCACTATCAAAGTTAACAAAAAGTGGTCAAATAGTTAGTTAAATAGTTATTTATTTTTCTAAAGTTTTAGGTAAAATCCCTTTATAATTGAATATAATGACAAATAGTTTGCATTATTTATGAATTTTGACAACTAATTAACTATATTCATCAATTAACTCGTAAATATAACCATATTTTAGTCACTAAACAGGCAAAATTCAAATTTGATTTCTTAAAAACTAAGGAATTTTATGCTTTTAGTATATTTATAGAATTACAGTATATTTTGTATTGTATAAAATATAAATCAATTAATTTTATAGTTTTTTTTATTCATTAAAATAATTATTTTTATAAACATTGTCTTAAATTTACCATTTAAGCCCTAATTATGCATAAAAATCTAAAATAATTAAAATAGTTACGAACCCATCAAATAGTTATTTATAGGTGAAATAAAAGTCTCCTAAAATGACCCTTATTTTATGATTCGTATACATACTTAATCTCATGAAGTTCTCCGATATCGCAATAAATAGTTAAATAACTGGATTTGGATGCTTTAATCATTATTATCATATATCAATATAAAGTTAATGTATTTATTATTATATAACTGTACAGTGACTTAAGCTAATATGTAAGCAAAATTCAAATGAAATACAGGGGTATTAATAATAATAATAATAATTTTATTTTCGCTATTCGTTACTCAATGTATTGTTCAATATTAGTAAATTTACTTTCATGATTATATTAACAACATATCTTATACGTAAACATATGTATAACAGAATATAAGTCCATATATAACTCCCTAACTCTGCTGGAGCAGCAGAGGCCGGCCGTAAGATCAGTGAGAATCACGACTGTGTGGTCGCGTAATAAGGACTTCAAAGGCTCACTATTTTACTATTTTATACTTTTATGAATTCAATAAATTGACAAGTTTTACACAATATGTTACTGTATATGATATATAGAGCCCTGTTTTCCATTACAAAACTCATATCAGCAATATTAAGATTAATTTAGATTTATTCATCTGTTTTGAAATAATTTAAAATGTTAGCAAACATTATTAATGATGGATAATACACCGAATTGTTCCCAACTTTAAGTACATAATGCAATCATTTATTATGTGAATGTTACTCTTTTTGTATCCATTGTGATCATACAGTATTAGCTATTGAATTAATTTTTGTATAAATTATTTATTTGATATAACTATGCTTGATATTGTTAATTCCATGTTTTAACAGTTAACATTTAACTTATTAAAGTGTTTAATACTAAAGTTAGAAATTAATTACTATTACATAACTTATCTAAACATAATTACTTACTAATAAGAAAAATTAATTGAAAAATTTTATTCAATAAGTATTTATTCAATAATTGTAATTTTTGAAAACATTTAATAAAACAATGAGAAAATATCATTTAAATATTATTTTTACAGGCCATTAATGTTGACCTGGACACACATTACAATTATGCATTTAATTTTCAATCAAGTTTTTGTAATCAATAAATATTAGTGAGTTTAGAAATTCTTTATATGTGATAGACCAATATGAGATGAGTCTCTGAAAAAATGCTTTTATTTCTTCTTGAAACATTGCTTTTCTGTAAAGTTTTCAATTTATCAAGTTTAATATAAGTAAATTTAAATATTTTATTTCCCGTTTTATTTTTTATAATGAATTATAGTGTCTAAGTTAAAACGTAGACTTGTGCGATATAATAAATTGTAAATCAACATTGAAAGCGAGTAAAATAAATGCTTTAATCAGTGAATATAATTTTGGAGTAAATGAATAATAATTTTATAGATTATTATATGTTCTTAAAGTATATTAAAAGATAATTTTAGAATTTTAGAGATCAGAAAGAAAACATAAAAAGCATATTTAAAATGTTTTAGAGGGTCTTGACGCCAATGGTGGCACTACCGCTTCCACTGCCAGTTCCCACCTGTACGCCCACATGAGCGCCTGAATCGGTTCCGGCATTTAGAAAGAAAACATAAAAAGCATATTTAAAATGTTTTAGAGGGTCTTGACGCCAATGGTGGCACTACCGCTTCCACTGCCAGTTCCCACCTGTACGCCCACATGAGCGCCTGAATCGGTTCCGGCATTCACATCAATGTTAACACTCTCATTTTGAGCCTGGTTCAGAATGTTCTGCAACTCAGCCTCCAGTTCAGCCTTAGCCTGTTGGAGGGTTGTCTTCACCTGTCCGCTGGCCGTCTTCAGTTGGTTAGTGATGTCAGTCAACTGATTGGTGAGAGTTGTTTTGGCCGATGAAAGAGTTTTTTGCAGTTGTGACTGCAGTTGTGTTGCAACAGCCGGCAACTTTGTCTTCACGTCCTCAATCTTTTTGACGAGACCTGTAACTTGGCTGTTGAGTTGAGCGGCCTGTTCCTCGATTGCGTCCTCCAATTGTTGTGCCCCCTGTTGGCCAGCGGTCTTCAAATCCGACAATTTCTTAGTCACATCTGTCTTCAACTTTGCGGCCAAATCTTGACCGGCCTTTTGTGCTTCGGCTAACTTTTCCTCCAATTGAGTCGTCAACTGCTGGAGCTTATCGGCACCGGCAGTCTTGGCCTCATCATCAATGTGGTGACGTCGGCAATCTT